TTTTTTTTTTTTTTTTTTTTGTCAAACCTATCAACAGTTCCGCTGCTCATCAAACGTCATAGATATATGAATATGCACATATGTCTTTTTTCTCCATTAAAGTGAGCAAACATCTGACAAAAGCAGAAAACAGAAAAAAATACATTTTACAGGAGTCTGTTTTCAATTTTTTGCTTCCTTTTGCCAAGCCCTCTAGCTTCTGTTTACATTTCCTGATTTCTCTTTTTTTTTCTTTCAGAATTTCTAACACCGTAACCTTTTTAAATTGTTTTCATAATATCAACATGTTTTGCCAAAAAGTTGCTACTGATCAATAATACTATTAAAATCCCTTCTTGCCAGCTTACTTCTTCCAATTTTAGAAACAAATAGTCGTTTGGTGTCAGCGTTAAACCACTCATTCACTAATTCCGTTCCCATTTGTTTAAATCATTGAAATGTTTAGAAAAATTTTCAATTGTTTACAAATGTGTAAAATCTGCTTACTTCTTGTGATAGTGGAACAGTTGTCGACACTAAACGTTCCAATGCGGTGATCCGTTGTTCAAGATTTGTTATCCTAATATGTAGCGGTAAAATAATTCCAACAGTTGCGCATATCGCAAAAATAATCGCAAAAAATTTGATTGAAAAATATTTTGATTGCCATAAACTGTTAATTAATCGTTCAATAAAATTTTGTCGTCGTTTACTTTGCACAACACTGTGATTAACAGGTACAGTTGGTCGAACTATTCGAATAACAGATACTTTGTCCGAATTCATCTCACCAGAATATTCGCTATTCTTCTATACTAACAAAGGAAAAAAATACGTTCCTTCTTTGTTCTGATAAGCGACAAATTCTCTCCTCGTTTCTCTGTTCCTTTTTTCTTTAAAACCAACCAGTCAAGAAAAAAATGTAAAGGTTTTTTTCTTTTTCTTTTCCAGCCGGGCTTCAGTTGGTTATTACATATCAATGGCTTCACAGATACAGCTTGACTGCCCATTCCGCAGTCAACATCACTGTTGTCGTTGATGTTGTCATGATCATCGGTAGCGTCGTTTGAAAAGAGAAAAAATTTTTTATCCAACTGTCAGTTTCAGTGGTTTTTTTTTCTCCTCCTCTTTCCCTGTCTAAAAATAATACTGTATAAGATACCTGATACTTTTAACATGTAAAGATAGAAAAGATGATGGCAGAAGAAGGCGATATGCTTTGAAGAGGATGGGAAACAAACAAGAAGAAGCTGTAATAAATCTGTATGAAAAAACAGCTGTTACAGCCACAAAAAAAAGAAGAAAGGTTATTACCAGCTTTACCCAACGAATAAATCATAATCATTTATTATTAATCGTTATTACTGATGGCATAATATTACTGCTTATCAAAAAAAAAAAAAAAACAGTCATTGGATCTCAGTTGCTGTGATGAATCACTGATTTTTAAGTTTCTTTATCAGGATAAGCATTAATCTTGTAAAGCAACATCTAAACCTCTTCTTATCTGCCGTTCTCAAAAATTAATTCTTATTTTACAGGTCATAATCAAGTAAGTCATTCAAAAAAAGTGAATAAATATATAAATAAATAAACAAACAAACAGGCAAACGGATAGGCATCTCAAAAATGTCATTAATATAAATCTGATTTTGTTATTTTAGTAGAATATGAGCAAAGTTTTTGATGACTCAGTCGCCGACAGCGAAGGCAGGAGAGGTTCGGCAAGTAAACCAAAATAGAATGAATAGATTTCATTAAAAGCAATATGCTACGAAACCAGTAGAAAGATTAAATTGCAAAAAAAAAAGTAATAGTAAAGATAAATTAAAGACCGTTGTTTAGTATTATAATTTGATCTTCATATGTTTAGTTGAAAAGCAGGAAATTTAAAAACTATCGCGCAAAATTTTCTTTGCAAAAGATTTTCAGGAAAAAAAAGTGATTATTTACTTTCTTTTTCTTTATTTTTTGTTGCAAAAGAAAAACCAATTTTTAGTGGACTAGAAAAATGATTAATCATAACATAAAATTATTTCATTTTCTTCCCGTTTTGTCTTTGCTACTTCAGCGCTCATCCCGTCCTTCCGACTACTCAGACAGACCAAAGCAACTCAGCCGTTCAACATCCATCCTCCTCTTCTTCCTCATCCTCATCTTCATCTTCCTTATTCTTCTCCTCTTCAGTCTTTCAAATAGCTTATTATTGTTAAATAAAAAAATTTCTTTCGTTAAAGTGTCCCTCCATTTATCCTCTTTCCGTATTTTCCGGAAAAACCTTTTTTCACCAGGCGTTAAAAATGCAAATATAAACTGATTAAAAAAACAATATCCCTTCTCATATCCGTTTTATGGTCAATGCTGCTGTTATTGTTTATTTAGTTTCCGAAGAAAGAAACTTATCTGATTTATTAAAATTTAAGCGAAAAAATTCATTTTCCGCGTTAATTTTTCGCCACTTCCTTGATTATATCCAAACAGCTTATACATATACTGACCTCTGATAGATTTCTTTCTACGTTTTTTGGAATGACGAGGGTAAGAATAGCACCACAGACTGAGTATTTGATTGTTAACTAAATTAGGAACCAACAGGGTAGGTCATCGTTCTTAGCCAATTTTTTTTTTTTTTTTCAATCCTACTGGGAACTATAATTTATTGTTTTCGTCTAGTTGCTCACAACCGTTGTCAGT